GTTAGCCAAGTGTCTGAAATGAAAATAATACTGTATCATTAATACATTTCCAAGAGGGGTTCTAGTTTAAAAACCACCATGACTTTTCCACCGCACAGAGCACTTACGTTCCCTGGACTCTTTTCTGAAGTTCACCAGCAAGCTTTACATCAAGTTCACAAGCAATTACCTGAAAGAGAATCATATATAAAATGTCTTTGTGGACATATCATACATAACAAATCCCAAAATTACTTTATGTTATTATAGAATTTTAAACAAACTTGTGGTTTAACTGTAAGTATTAAGGTTCTTTTTTTAAGCTTTGTAGTTGGATACTGATGTTCCCATACACTGGCTATCCCAAAGGTGCATTTTTCCAAAAGGCAACTAGACTTTCTTGGCTTTTTCTTTGAAAACATTTTGCTTCTCATCCAAGAAGCTTCTTTAGTTCTAACTGACTGGTGACGAATGGAAGGGTTTATATTCTTTGCAGTCATTGGTCATTAGTATTCTGACAGTTGTCCTTAGCTCTTTGAGAGTCATCGAGGCACTTAGGGGTTTATCTATATCCTCAGAATCACCTGAATCAGTGTAAATGGGTATGGAACCTTCTTGGGACTGTTGAAAGGACTGCATTGTAAACAAGAGATAGGTAGTATTGCATCTCTCCCCCTCTATTGAGAAGGGGCTGAGCGGGGAGGGATAAAACAGCCTGTTGTTAGGCTTTGATTCTTTCTCTTATTTCTTCTTTTACATGATAAATCCATTTTTGTTTGATTATCTTTTCCTATTTTGTGCTATCTCCTTGTGGCCAAACAGCAAAAGAAAAGAAAAGCATTTCTTTATTTTTAGATTTACCTTTTTCACCTTTTCTAACATTTTCACCGTCATGTTGCCAGTTCCAGGACCAATTTCTAAAACAACATCTGTAGGGTATAAGGAAGCCTAAAAGAATGAATAAAATGTAATTACACAAAAAACCTAGTCTTGATAGCTCTGCATATAAACAAACTTAATTGATTTACAACATTATGTACAGGAGAAAGGGAATGGCCTTGAGGGACAGGAAAAAGAGCTGTACCGAAGCAATGGTTAGAGTCCAGAGCAAGAACGTAGCATGAATAAACATTTCCAATAGGACCCTCCCTGGTTCTCATGAAAATAAAGGCAAGGGGGGGGGGGGAATGAATTAAGACTTGCATGATTCTGTTACTATAGCTTCACAAAATAATATTGAATTATTTGATTTCCTAGTGTGGCCTACCTGGAAAGGCTGAAATATACTGAGAAATGACTTACTAAAGCAGAATTCTATCAAGTCAAAAAGATCCATCTATTAAATGTGTACAAACTATTTAACTTATTTGTCTCTGATGTAATAGCTGAGCACCAGATACAACCATTCTGATATTTTTTATATTTTAAAAAAATGTACAAAGACATCTGTATTGTGTATAGGTATTGTTGAACTTTTTTTTTTCAAAATTTCACATTTTATTTCCTAATGAAGTATCATATTTTCTGACAAAATCCTGTTTGTTTAGTGAGAAACAGATTCATTGATTTTAATGATGCTTACTAGTTAAATAGGCATACATTAGTAGTTTCAAATACTACCAGTTTAACAATAATGTATGTGAATGACAGATTATTTTCTTATACTGGATGATTGTGATTATCACTTACCTTTTCTATAATGCTGTTAACAATCAGGGGATTTTTCAAAATATGCTGACCAAGTCCAGTATTGAACCTAATGCCTACTAATTAAAATAAATTTTAAGAAACATACTTATAACAACTTATTTTGTATCAAACTCTCCTTAGTTCTGTATCAAATTCTCCAATAGTTCTTTATACAAGTCTTAAATAATGGGATGATATCCTCTCTAATAATTCACCCAATTTAGAATCTGGTACCCTTATCAGAAAAAGTCACATCAAAACAATGAGGTATGGTTGAAGTTCCCAAGCTTTATCTTTATATAGTTCATTACATTATTGTGAAAATGTTCTGCAGATCAAAGACAAGCAGTGCAGCATCTGCAGGGACAATGCCACACAAGGCCTTACACCAGCTAAAAATTATTTCTCAACTAAAAAAAAATGATAACGACCAAAATCTTATGACAAGTAACAATCTTATCATTAGGTTCACAAATTTAACAAGTTTTAATTCACAAGATTTTGGTCATTTAAAAATATTTTCATTTTTATTTTGCCATTCATCCTACAGAATACTTGGCATCTTCCATGAACCATCAATGGTTGGCAGACTACAGATTAGAAATCATTGGACAGCGATACACCGTTGTATACATCTCTGGTCAAATTATATATTGCAAAGAATTCCTATATAAGCAGAAGCTCAACAAACCTCTACATACTGTAGTACAGTACAACGCTAAATGTAACAACTTTTTTCAAATTTTAACATGTACTTATTATTTAAGTGCAGTTGTTTTAGATGCAAAGTAAGAAAACAATGAATATTGCAGTGAAAAAATCTGATACTGTTTCAATCAATAATGTGTAAAAAACCTCCTTTGGCAGAAAAAAACAGCTTCCAAAGAGTTTGTGTAGCCAGTTTAAGCATTCTTCTGTACTAGTTTTTTAAAACAATATTTTCTCATTTTTCCTTATAAAGTTCTTCTAGCTCAGAAATATGCTTCCACATTGGACTGCTCATGGCTTACACATTAAACATCTTTCTACAAACTTTCAATCATGCTCAGATTAAGTGATTGTCTTGTTAAAATAGCCAATCTCTTTTCAGATTCAATCTCTGGAACATTAGCTTTTAATATATATTAATATTTAGTTGAATTTGTTCTTTCTTCTACCTGCTCAATATTTTCTGAACTACTGACTGCAATCCCTAAAGAATTCAGGACATCTCCATATTTAGTGGTCTGCAAAGCTCTTTCTTTCAAAAGCTTTACTATTCTTTCTCTAAATGTAGCTGATCAAATTGTTCTATTTTTGTTTCCTCATATGAAGTACAAGATTTTGTTTTGCATACTTTAGATTATGATTTTTTGCGATGAGGTCAGAGGAAAGGGTGTTTTTCCTGATAAACATCCCATGAAAATCACTGATTTATTGTGGACAACTACTCCAGAATCAGCCAGTGTTTCTCAACCTTGACAATTTTAAGGCATGTGGACTTCAACTCCCAGAATTCCACAGCCAGCATTGCTGGCTGTGGAATTCTGGGAGTTGAAGTCCACATGCCTTAAAATTGTCAAGGTTGAGAAACACTGAGCTAAACTTTTCAGCCGCTGAATCGTGGGTTCTGCTTTACAGACCTGACCAATTTTGGGACGCTCTACCAGACTTTTTTTTCATGATCTTTAAACTAATATCCAAAGAGGAAACCAGCTGAAAAGAGGCTAGATATGGAGTCATCATCACTGCGAGGACTCCACAGTTGAGCCCTGAGCCATATGTATATTCTCTATTTAGAATCTGGACACTTCTAGGCAGGGCTTTTTTTGTAATAGAACGGGGCACCTTTTTTCTACGGATTTTCCAGAGTTGCCTTGAACAAAATCCTAGTCTTTTAGACACACTAAAAATTGAAGGGTTTTTTTTTTCAAGTACAAAGGTAAACCTTGTAGGGTAGGCAAGGCGGGTTGTATCACGTGTGTGAGTTCCGGCACCTTTTTTTTTTTTTTACAAAAAAAGCTCTGCTTCTAAGGCAGGGGTAGGCAACCTCGGCTCTTTTGTGACTCATGGACTTCAACTCCCAGAATTCCTGAGCCAGCCATGCTGAGGGGAAAGGGAGAGGTTTCCAAGCTGAGCCATGCTGGCTCAGGAATTCTGGGAGTTGAAGTCCACGAGTCATGAAGGGGCCTAGGCCTAGGCCAGGGGTAGGCAACCTGGGCTCTTTTGTGACTCGTGGACTTCAACTCCCAGAATTCCTGAGCCAACATGGCTCAGCTTGGAAACCTCTCCCTTTCCCCTCAGCATGGCTGGCTCAGGAATTCTGGGAGTTGAAGTCCACGAGTCATAAAAGAGCCGAGGTTGCCTACCCCTGTTCTAGGGGAAAGATTCGAAATCACTTCTATAGCGAAGCCAAAGTGCTTGGTACCCCTTCAAATTACTATTATCATAGCAACCCAATCCTTCCCCCCCCCCATCCCCCGTATGGCAAATGATGCAAAGCTGCGGTCCGTTACAGCCCGTCCTCCCTAGCCCGAGAACTTCCTCTCACCAGGGCCTTTCCCTTCTCCACGCTGCTGTCGAGAGCGCGATTTCGTCTTCACCTTCGGCATGGCTCTGCCGGGCCTCCAGCACGCGAAGTTCGGAAGAGAAGGAAAGCGAAGGTCAACCGCACGCGCGGGTGCTGCCGGGACGCGTAGTTCTGCCGTTCCTTCGGCAGCGCGCGGCGAAAGCGCTCGAGGACTCAATTTCCCGCGAAGCACCTCGCCCCAAGGGACGAGTCAGAGTAGTGAGCTTCGGGAAGCGCTTTAGTACTTCGTGAGGGCGCAAAGGAGAGTTGAGAAACGCTATTGGTCATGACCAGGGGTAGTCCACCTTGGCTCTTTTATGACTCGTGGACTTCAATTCCCAGAATTCCTGAGCCAGCTTAGCTGGCTCAGGAATTCTGGGAGTTGAAGTCCACGAGTCATAAAAGAGCCAAGGTGGACTACCCCTGGTCGTGACCCTTTTACAACTAAGAAATCATTACTGGAAAAGAAGAATAGGGAGGGAAGGAGATTGATAGCCACAAAAAGGTGGAAGCTGCGTTCTTCTCCCACGTCTCCAACAACAACAACAAAGTTCCCGCCCACTTTTCCTTTTCAATACGCTTTTAGCGTATTGTTTTTATATTGGGGAGGGGACTTGTCTTCTCCCCTCCTCAGGCGCCGGAATCCCAAAAAGAGAAACGGGCGGGCCCGCAGGACGAGAGACGGGAGGGGAGGGGGGAAAGAGGGCAACTGAGGGAAGAGGAGCGCCGAGCGATGACGTTGGTAGCGCGCCGAACTGCCGCGGGCGCAGTGGCGGCTGAGCCGAGGCTGGTGGCGCGAGCTTCGGAAGCAGCGGGAGGCGCGTGCGCCAGACTGAGGACGCCCGAGAAGGAGCTCCGGCTTCACCGGTAAGTGAGGGAGGGGAGAGGACGAGAACACGCCTGGCTGTGTCCGCCCCGTCCCTCCTTCCCGTCGGACGAGGATGCGAGCCAGCGAAGGCCCCGCACCCTGAGGCGCTGGGCGGCCTGTCGGGACTGAAATAAGCCGAGGGAGCGATCCTCGGCCGCTAGTTGCGAAAGGGCTGCAGTCCTGAAATGTGGATGCGCTTGCTTGGGCGCTGCTGAGGGAGGACCAGCGGCCTGTGGAGACTTTCCTTTCTCGTGGGAGATGCTTTGCCTAATCGACGCTGTTTTTTTTTCCTCATGACCCGAAGCCTTGGCTAACTGTCCTATTACTGAACGTCTCGCCAAAGTGTAGCACCCGCAAAGGTCGCTTCTCCTAGGATACGAAGAAAAGTTGTCACAGGTGGAACTCTTTCTTGGTAACCGATAGCCGAAGAAATTGTTGCACCTGATTTATTAAAAGGAGGAATACATGAACATTAAGTTATAATGGTAAAGGCAATTGCCTTTACCATTATAACTCAGTCAAGTAACTTAATTTAAATCAGTGTTTCTCAACCTTGATAATTTTAAGGCACGTGGACTTCAACTCCCAGAATTCCACAGCCAGCATTGCTGGCTGTGGAATTCTGGGAGTTGAAGTCCACGTGCCTTAAAATTGTCAAGGTTGAGAAACACTGATTTAAATAATTCATTATTAGGAATCCCAATCATCTTCTCTTTTAAGTTTAGGAGACTAAAACCAACAGGCAGGCTTCCATGTTTTGGAACAATATACAAATGTAATCTTATAAGGATAAAAATAATAATGCATAACTGGGAGAAAGTTAAGGGCGATGCTTATGGATTCTGCTGTTTTAGTACAGAGCACATATTTTGGCACAATATATTTTCAACCATTCACCTTATTCTTTAAAAGTATCTGGATCCTCTAACAGTAGAAACAACAGCTCTTCTTTTCAGAAAGTACTTTTATATCCATACAGGTGTAATTTTTTTTTATAAGTCAGTCTAATAAGATAGAGCAGCACAGTAAAATTTCAGTCCTGTGTATGTTTACAGAGGTGAAATTCTACTGAACTCTGTGCTAATGAACAGGTTTGAATGGGTTCTAAAGCAGGGGTCCCTAACACCCGGTCCGTGGACCAGTACCGGGCTGCGGCATGCCAGCAATCGGGCCATACAAACAAAGCCTCATCAGCGAGATGTAGGCAGCATATAGCATCCTCCAGTCCATGGAAAAACCTCTCTCCAAGATTCCTGGTGCCCAAAAGTTTGGGGACCTCTGTTCTAAAGTATTCCAGAACTCCCCCTATTTTGTGTTTGCTAGAAAAATAACATAATGCCCTTCTGCTTGAATAAACAAAAATGAGGTGGATGAGGTAGCTTCTGAAACATTGGGGGAAAGGAGGAGCCCTTGGGTCATTCTTGATAGTGCCAAGTGATAAATTTGGTGAGGAATCTAACTCTAGATGTGTCAGTTGCTGCTGCAACTTATTCCTCTTCTTATTTATCCTTTGGAAAGGTGCTCTCCCAGCATTTCCTTGATTGATCCATTATGGGTAGGAGTTCCTGGCTTCACCAAGATAAACTTCAACTGCTGTACCTGGCTCCTGAGGTAGCATGTATAAAAGCCCAGGATGGAAGCAACCACTAAATGAACAGCACATAGAAAGAATGAGATCTATGGGAAGCAGAAGGCAGGTTTAGCAGATCTTTGTGATATTGGAACAGCTGTATATCACTTTTTCATATGTGTTAAGAAGTGCTATCAGGAGGAAATTTGAATGGACTCACCTAGTATTCAGTTAGAAGGTTGCTATGTACCATTAGTGGGATGATTATTACTTATTGAGAGGCACTGCTTTAAAGTGTGATGATTGGGGATCTATTCTTGTGCATTCAGATATGCCTAAGAATATATAAAACTGTTAATTTGCATGCTCACAGGAACCTCTTATCCATGCACTCTTTTTCTGCCCTCTTCTGTTGTTTCAGTGTTCAGCTGATGTTGATTTTCTGGAAGGTTTTATTTCTAGAAGGCTCAGTAAGTCTTCTCAGTACAAAGGCCAAATATGAACTGATCTAGATTTTTTCTCACAAAACTACCCTGTAAATAAGTTGACACTTCTAATATGAAGCTGGCTTCCAGGCATCTAATAAAGTTGAATGCAAGGAACAGACAAAAGAAAGTTCTTTTCCCAACATGTAATTAATCTGTGGAATTCATTGCTAAAACTGTCATGATGGCCACTAATTTGAATGGCTTTAAAAGAGGATTGTATAATGCATGAAGGAGAGCCCTGGCAGTGTTACCTTCCACCTAGAGCAGCAGGCCTCCGAATATCAGCTGCAGAGCAATAATGGTGAAAGAACGGTATGTCTCTGTCTCCAGCTTTGAGGCATTGCATAGACATTTGGTTGGCCTTTAAGAGAGACAAGATGTTGAACTAAATTAGTTCTTGACCTGACCTAGTCTGGTCTTTAATATTCTTATGAGTTGTTTTTAAGTTTAGTATTGTTTTAGGAACAAAGAGTGCAGTTTGAAAATTAGCAAAATGCAAGATAGAGTCAATGTAGTGTCACCTGTATTATTCAGGGGTTTTTTTCACTTGCTATTTCAATTATAAGAATCTTCCTTCTACTTGCAGTGTAAGCATTCATGAACGATTGCATACATTTTCAGAAAATTTAACTCTGTGTGCGTCTTGTGTAAGTCTGAGCTTTAAAGGACAGTTTTATTTGCTTCCTGTTTTTAGTTGGAATTATATTGAAGGGTTTTTTTTTAATTTGGCTACTGTAAGTTGCTCTTGGACAATTATGCTAATGAATAATTGGGCATCTGTTATTTCTGTTTTGGGAAAGTAGTGCATTAATGCCCACTCTCTTAAAGTATTTCAATATTTTCAATATATTCTCAACTATTAGCTGGTTATTTTATGTCATTTGTCACATTTCTCTAATATGGGAACTAATATGAAACAAAGTAAATTAGTACTATGCTTTCTGCTGCACCTTGAGCATAACTTAAAATTGTATTTTTTTAAATCAGCGACCATTATGATTACAGTTACACATGTTTATATTTTCAGTATTTGAAGTCACTGATATTTAGTGTGTGAGTATGACAGAATATTAGAAGAAAGGATAAAGTTTTTTAACCTGAGGTTCATTTATATAATGCCAGATTTTCAGTACTATATTATGTGAGATAAGTTCAGTAATATGCAAATTCTTTATTGTGATGCTTACTTCTTTATGAGGTTTATTGCTAATAATTGTAGAAAAAAATTGAAACATTTGTAAATGTGTATGTCTCTAATTTTCATTTAGTAAATGCTGGAATCAGTACAAAAGAGGTAATAGGACCTCTTAAGAAAGCTAACAATGCATTTTTTAAAAATGTTTTGGATAGATTTTCATGGATCTCCATAGTGCCAGTAATGTTGTTCTTCAAGTCTTGACCCAAGCTACTAGTCAAGATACTTCTGTATTAAAACCAGCAGAGGAACAACTGAAACAGTGGGAGACACAACCAGGTTTCTATTCAGTTTTGTTGGTAAGTTAAAACAATGAAGTTACATTTGTTCAAGTACCTCTTAATCTATCTTACTTTTTTTTCTCACCCTTTCGCTATTTTTCTATAAGGAATATATATTTGTATCTATCATAGTAGTTCCTCAATAGACCCATATTACAGAACAGATGTTTGTGCCTTGCATATGTCAACATATTTTTGGGAATCAAAGTCAGAACATTACTCAGTAGTAATGTGAACCTTAAGCCTATGCCAGTGATGGCGAACCTTTTAGAGACCAAGTGTCCAAAAAGTGGCCCCTGCCCTGTCCCCGCTCCGCCCCACTCTGCCTGCCCGCAGGGCCACTCACCGCCTCCAGGGCCCACTGCAGATCGCCCAGGCAGCCCAGCAGCGCCATGGTGGCCACGCCCTCTGCTCACACCCTGCAGCATCAACTGTGCGCGTTGGGGCGTGAGGGCAGAGTCTTGTCTATGCTGCCTGGCTGCCATGTCCTTGGCTGCGCTGCTCTGCGTGGGCCACGCTCGGGGGCGACTCTCCTCCAGGGGGGTTGCTGGTGAGGAGGGGGTCACGGGCGGAGGCAAGGCTAGGTTAACGGCACGTGTGCCCACAGAGAAGGCTCTGAATGCCGCCTCTGGCACCCGTGCCATAGGTTCGCCACCACTGGCCTATGCTATATATTTTATTAGCCAACAATTATAGGATTTGCTAAACTATACAATTTTTCTTTGTATATTATCTGCTACCACAAAATTTGAGATACAGATTCTTGCAACTTTGTACAATGTCTAATTCTAAGACACACCATATATAGTTATACTAAACAGTTATTTGTTTCTTACAGAATATATTCACCAACCACAATCTGGACATAAATGTGAGGTGGTTGGCTGTTCTGTACTTCAAAAATGGAATTGACCGCTATTGGAGACGAATGGCAGTACAGTAAGAAATACCTTTCTAATCTCTGTCATCCCTGCAGTTGTACTTTTAAAAATAATATTGATTTCCTGATTTGAAGTAAGCAGTGCTAGCAATCGATTACCCAGATAACAATGATCTCGGAAGCCAGATCTCTTCCTTAAACATAATTTGTGCAGTCAGTAGTTCATGAATGAAGGCAAATATATGTGTCCCAGGATAATATTGCAGGATCCAATCTGAATCAGTCAACAGGACCAAAGGTTTTTCCAAGCTTTCAGACTCATGCTGGAGTCCATCCTCAGAGAACATCTCATCTCCAGGATGTGAGAATAGCCCAGTGCACCCATCCTGTAGATTGAGAAGTTTCCTGAGGATGGGTCAAGCACAAATCCGAAAGCTTGGAAGAACAAACCTCTTGCCCCGGTGACTGACTCAGATTGGATCCTGCAGTCAGTAGTTCACTTGCAGTCGTCTTCTTTTTTCCACTGGAAAAAAGAAGCTCTGAGCTTCTTTCTTAGATCTTCAAGGTTATTATAATATGATAGCAGTTATTTTCAATAACCTCTGTCTCCACATATATAAGCAGAAAGGGATAAATGTTTGGGTTATTCTGCCACTCTCCTGATCCCTGCATTTAGCAAACAGCAGACTTCCTAACTAATGACTATAAATTTATTTCAACTCCTCATGGCAGAAAGTCACAAATTAACTCACTCCTTTTCTTGTAGTTTTGCTCAGTTCATCCTCTGTATTTCAGAGATATATTGTCTTTTCTTCTCATCTGCTATATCACTTTTTTCTTCCCCTGAAAGCTTAAACTCTCATTTGCTACTCTTAAACCCTTTGATATATACAAGTGAAATTAAAAAAATAATATAGTAAAAAATTATAAGCCTCTTTTCTAAGACAATTTCTGTGAATATTAGCTATTTGCTTTTCTTTTTAATTTAGTTTATTTTGATTCTGATTAGTATTTTTTAATTAGTTTACTTCAAGTTTTAATGAACTTCACAGACCCCCAAAATTTAAAAACATTTAGTAATAAGGAAAATAGTTAAATAATAAGATTGCCATTGGATGTACAGAATTATTGAATGTAATTTCTATTATCCTGTAGATGTCAGTGTTGCAACATATGAATTTTATAAAAGGTCTTATTTATTTTTAATATTCACTACATTCATATGTTTAAAGCACATTAGAAAACTTTATCCCTGCTTATATTTGTAATATTAATTCATCTTTTTTCACTATTTTTATCTTGTTACACATTTTGTCAAGCAAATGTTCTCTTTGCTTAAAAAGTGACAAGTCTTTGAAGATTTTTCACAAATATAGCAGTTGTGTGAAATCCTGAAAAATACAATCTAGAAGGGAAATTTGTTTTTACAACAACATATACTAAGACAGTGATGGCGAACCTTTTAGAGACCGAGTGCCCAAACTGCAACCCAAAACCCACTTATGCATCGTCGGGTGCCGGGTGGGTGTGGCCCATTGGGTGGGTGTGGCCCATTGAGTGGGTGTGGCTGCGGTGGTAACAGCAGACTGGGTGGGACTAAAAAGTTCAATCAATCAATTCCAACTTTGCAAGATCTTTTTGTGTGTGAGAAGTTGAAATTGATTGATTGAACCTTTTTTTTTGTACACGGTGGTGGAGGCCTAAAGCGAAAAGGTTTTATAAAACCCAGCTGAAGGCCTAGGACTGGGGCGATGGCGCGTGTGCCCACAGAGAGGGCTCTGAGGGCCACCTCTGGCATCCGTGCCATAGGTTCGCCACCACTGTACTAAGAGGTACTTGTTATCTTGTTTCCAAGTTCATCTGAAGTATTAATAAAACATAGAGACAAGTATTGCACTAAGAAGGAGCAAATAGTTTTTGAATCCGGATCTGTGTTCTTAGTAAAGGAACTTTTAATCAGATTCCCCTGTACTATAGATATTGTTAAAATTTAAAGTTTTCAACTACTATTCTTTGCTCTTATTTAGAATCTAATGAGCTAAGGTTGATTAACTCAAGATATTTCTCTTTTGAATTTATATATTTGGGTCCAAATATCCTACACGCTCTTTGCATATATTAATATATTGTATAAAGAAAGTTGTTATAAGGTCCCCTAGTTCAGCACCATCATAATTTTGACCAGTTACTGAATGAGGATTGTTAACTTGAGGATTACCTTTATAGTTAGAAATGCATTACTGTAAAATATTCTACAGTATTGCATTATTCTTGCTGATCATAGAAACCTCTCTAAAATTTGCATGGTAATTTCTAATATAGGTTTTAATTTTCCAATAAACAGTGCTCTGTCAGAAGAAGAGAAATCTACTCTGCGTGCAGGACTTATTGCTAATTTCAATGAACCAGTAAATCAGGTTAGTGCTAATGTGAAAATTGGATCTCCGAGGCTGTATTCTTTTTGTGAATTTTTTTTTAAAATTAAGGCCCATCTATTCCGTGCGGCCGGGTTTTTTACGGGTGTGTTTTTAGAACAGGCCTGTTATTTAATTCGATTTTAAAACAAACTATTTATTTATTATTGTGGTTTTTAGTATCGCCTGTTCACCGCCCTGAGTCCCGCAAGGGGGATAGGGCGGTATATAAATTTAATAAATAAAATAAATAAATAAAATGGGTTCAATTTTATGTTTCTAAGAATAGATTTAAAAGTTTATTAGCATAATCATCAAACATTTTACTCTGATTCATGGCATTATTTGAAACCTATTATTTTGTAAGTGTTATAAGTTGCTCCAATTGAAGCAGGGCGATATATAATTTCCATCTTTATAAATCAGATTAAAAACAATCAATAATACTATTTTTGGGACAGTGATATTCTTTCTGTATAAATGATGCTGAAGTGCATTCTGGGCAGAGTGGGGAAACAGAGACTTCCTGATGACTATGTAGGGGAAGGAGACAACTAACAAAACTCAGGTTGTTTTTTCCATGTTGTGTATAGTCAGCATACAGGTACAAGAAAGGTATCAGGATAGGCTTGGAGTCTCTCTATAAGAATATAATGTAGAGGCGCTAGGTCAGCCCAGAGAAGGTCACCCCATATTGTTATCAGATCCAGTGTTCCTGAACCAAAGTCAAGTCATAATGTACACTTTTTAAATAAGTTTTATGTGTCATTTCTAGAGGGTATATAAACTCTAATCTTCTGGGCTTTGATTGTAATTATGTATGCACTTTTGAAAGAAAAGTGTGACATCGGTAGAGTGACCATTTACTGTCATTCGTAATCATAAATCCTTTATTATAAAGGACAGTCAATTATTTCAGGTTTATTTAATTATTTTTCTTTGGTTTTGCTCTTGAATTTTCCCTTGTAAAGCATGAGCACTTTTTAATCTTTATGAACCATTCAGATTTATTCCTTTTTTAGGTTTTTCCTTTATGTTTTTTTCAAGAAAATATGATCACACTAGATAAGCATATTGAGCCCTACTTGGCCATTTTGGAATTAGCTGTTCTAAGAAGATATTGTGAAACATGCAAGAGATTTTGAGTATAGCCATCTCAAACTCAAAAAATAACTGTTTAGAGCTCAAAACAGGATTATTTCTTTATAACAAAACCCACAATCTTGTGGCATTTTAAAAATTATTGATAGTACTAAAAAAATCCCTAGAACAAAAGTATACTTCCACTTTGCATTCTGTGTTTATAGCATATTGAAAATGTTTTTATTTATTTATTTATTTATTTATTTATTTATTTATATTTATATTTATATCCCGCCCTTCTCCTTGCGGACTCAGGGCGGCTAACAACCAGATAAAATACAAAATATCAAACTACAGATTAAAACTTAATTAAAAGGCAGATATTAATAATTGGTCTAATTAAAATTATTTTAAAACCCCCTCTAAAAATTTTCCCCTTTTTTAAAAAAATAGTAAGGCTTTATTTGAAAAAAGATAGGCAAGAAAATTGCTTTATGTTTAATCATTGAATAGGCCCATCTAGCCCAGTAATAATATCAGTATTAACTGGAAGTAACTTTTCAGGGATTTAGTGCAAAACATATCTAACTCAATCTGAAAAAATCTGAAAATTAATCTTGAAATTTTCTAATTCTGAGATTAGTCACTCCTTTTCCACCAACTATATCAGTTACTCAAGTCCTATAATTATTTGGAGAAAAAACCCCATTTATTTATATCTCACCTATATATGAAGAAACATTGATCGTTAAAATATTGCAGTAACATTCTTTCATCAAAGTTAATTTCATCAAAATTAATAGTACTTCATAAAAAGTAGCATTAGATTTCTGTGTGCCAAATACTTTCTACAGAAATGTACATTATCCTTCTCTGTTTTTACTACATATACAGTATATTTTCTAGTTGTGTCTTCTCTTATTTTTGATATGTAGATCATAAATTTCACTGACAAAGTAAAAATCAGAAAATACTTTAGCTGCATAGTGTGCATTTTATATGCCCTCCCCCTAGCCCTGGGACAATTAATCTCCAGTCAAAATAGTGCCATCTGCATAGAAGAAAATATATGACATGGAGAAACCCCTAAGGCTTGTGGATGTACAAACATATTTTAGAAAAATAGAATAAATCCAAATGCAGTTGCAGCTGTGTTCAGTAATCATGGAAAATTAATTCACTATTTTGGGGAGAAAACGTTGAGAAAGAAAATAATATTTTGTATAGACTGATTAGGGAAAATAAGTGAGATAGTTCCATACTACACTATTTTCTTTCTGAGTCTGTTTGTGTTAACTGTTTTATTTAGATCTTATAGCTTTAATCCTGGGTTGAATTATTTTTTCTGCAACTTATGACAGTGTTGCTGAATTTTCAATAGATGTGACTCTCTTTTGATTATAGCTCAGTATGCCTGCTAGCTTAATGTTGAATATTTTGTTTGATTGTCTTTGCAGATTGCCACACAAATTTCTGTACTGATTGCAAAAGTTGCTAGGCTGGATTGTCCTAGACAATGGCCAGAACTTATTCCTACCCTTGTAGAATCTGTTAAAATTCAAGATGACCTTCGCCAGCATAGAGCTTTACTTACCTTCTATCATGTTACAAAGACTTTAGCATCTAAACGGCTTGCTGCAGATAGAAAACTTTTCTATGATGTAAGTATGAAACTTTGCTTTATCATTTATATTGTTTGATTGCTAAAGGTGAACATAATTCAGAGTTGAATAATTTTGAATTCAAAATGCCTCTCTCTGGAATAAGATGATTTGGCCTCTTGGGGTTAGTTTTTAACCTTGAAATGGTTCTGTTTCTAATTCTATTTGGCCATTTTAATCTGAAAATGCTTCTGGTGAGGTCAGAGCAGCTTGCTTCAAAATCGAAGATTGTAATTTCAAGCTAAAAATAATTCAAATTCAAAACATTTTACTTATTTCTGCTTATTTTTTCTGCTCCTCAAAAAAAGAACAAAAACTTAGTGCTCAAATCTTCAGATTTAAAATATTTTTAAAAACCTTTATTATAGCTGATGAGGCACATTCATTTTTATTTATTTATTTATTAGATTTATGCACCACCCTTTTCATCTGAAAGTGGAATTTAGAGATCACGATGATATGTTCCAGAGATATCAGTAACTCCAAATTGTAGACAATGCTCAGTAAATGACAATTTTTAAGGCTATGATTTTAGGTTGGTTTAAGAATCTTCCTTTTTGAGGGGAATGAAAAATTTGGTGTTGTATACTAACTAGCATTTCAGCTTTCTGATTTGTCTAACTTGGCAAATATTTTTGGATGCTGAGAGAATATAAAAAGGTGTGGCAGAGAAATTCTGATCAGTTGTGAGAGGTACAATATGAAAAAATCAATGCCATACATTCAGACTTTGTGTAAGAGCTCATGTAGCTGTTTTGATGTTGGTTGTATCCAATTTAATTTTACTCATTAATAAAATTGCACTCCTGGTTGCACTTATTTAAACATGAACAGTTTACTAAATAAGACTTGCTCTGGGTAAATATGCTTATGTGTCCTGACAAACAGATCAAATTATTAAGCTAAGTTTGTAACTTAGGAACAGCTGGATTATACTTAACTTACTGAAACCTGTTGCATCTATATTTATTTTAACTATGAAGGTTTTTCAATTATATTTCTGCAGTTAGCTTCTGGAATTTATAGTTTTACCTGTTCCTTGTGGAATCATCATACAGATACATTCCTTCAACAGATTTGTGTTAGAGATGAAACAACTATGAGTAATTCATTAGAAAGAACTCTGTTATCATTGAAAGGTAATTGACAAAAATGTTATATTTAAAATATAGTATTATGTGAAATACAGTCTCAGGTTTTCATCTTTAGATAAGACATATACTGTCTTGGAGGAGGAAATTAGTTTAAAGAACTGATAAGTTTCTCAGGTTAAAAAAAAGCATCTTCCATTTTTCTTAAATTATAATTTGATCATCAAAGTTAACTCAAAATAGGAACCCTGGTGGCACAATGGTTAGAATGTAGTATTGCAGGCTAACTGCCCACAGTCTGGAGATTGATCCTGAAGGCTCTCAAGGTGAACTGAGCCTTTCATCCTTCTGAGGTTGGTAAAATGAAGACCCAGATTATTGTAAACTTTATAAACAACCCAGTGCTGTAAAACACTATGGAGTGGTATATAAGTCTAAGTGCTATTGCTAAAATTATACTGAACTTCTTTTTAAGCTTGACATGATCACTCAGATTTTTAATGGCATTATGTAAACTTCTCTTTTAAACACAATAAGTATAATATAGTGTTATGATTTTTCAAGATTTATATCTGTAATATATCCAAGCTCTCTTTGTTTCAAATTGTTTACCCACCAAATTACTAGTATTCTTTGTTCTAATTTACTTATGTATTTTGGCTGGAACTGATATATAGCTGATACATTTTAAAGCCTGCCGCTTTCTAGAGTATTTGAAAGAGTATATTGCAAAGGACAGAGATGGGGGGAGACAGGTGGGTTTGGCAGTCCCTTGGGCTGGGAGAGACCAAGCCCGGAATGGCTTGAATTGGTGGGCACTCACTTAATAACCCATGATTCTCAATTAACTGTGGCAATGGAGAGTGCTGCGATTGTGGTCACTAAGTGATGCAGTCACATGTTCTCTTGTTTTGCAACCCCATCCCTTCACAATGGAAATTCTGGTCCAGTTATAAGTCGAGGACTATCTGTAGAAATTTAAATAATAATAATAACAATATTTTTTTCCAAATGCTTTGATTAGTCCTATTGAGTTGTCAGACAAGGATAAATTTGTGAAAAAATTCTATACTCATACAATGACATTAAAAACCTTCTGAATTATTAAGATTAATGGATTTTATTTTTTTTACTAGTTCTTTATATATAAACTACAGTGCTAAAATTGTCCTGATAAATGTCAAAAGCTTTGAAGATATTTGATACTGAAAAACTAAAGTTGTAAGAGAATGTTGTGAATTATGATCATATTTAGATATTAAAGTTATCCTAAAAACTTTCCTAATGTGAATAAGCAGTATGCTTGGGTATGCTTCACGGTTGCTAAGTTTCTCTTCTCAGAGGAAAAACTAAAGTTAGTGTTTGAGTGAGATTACTAGCTGCTTCCTTTCCTTGTTCAGAATAAGACATAGTAATAGCAATAGCTTCACAGTGCTTTACAGCCCTCACTAAGTGGTTTACAGAGTCAGCATGTTGCCCCCAACAATCTGGGGCCTCATTTTACCAACCTTGGAAGGATGGAAGGCTGAGTCAACCTTGAGCCAATGAGATTCAAACTGCCAAGCTGCTGGCAGTCGGCAGTCAGCAGAATTAGTCTGCAATATTGCATTCTAACCACTGTGCCACCACGGCTAAAGAATGCTTCATTACAAACCAATAATTGGGATTTGATGATTAGCATTGTTTATTATTTTAGAAATATTGGGTACTATTGAATTTTAGACCAAAAAGCTAATGCATTTTATATTTGTAAGTGTATCGAAAATTGGAAGTTATCCTTTTCTTATTTTTTCCTTATTTTTTGCACCTTTCCCTTCCCAATTTTTTTCTTTTAAATTATTTTTTGTTGTTGCTTTTTATATTTTAATTCTTGTAGAAATTCAATAAAGTATATTAAAAATAAAACTAGGCCAATGAATAACTTTTGTGATGTATGAATAAGAATGTTTTAATTTTTCAGTGCTTCGCAAATTGACAGTTCATGGGTTTGTGGAGCCTCATAAAAACATAGAAGTGATGGTAAGTAAGTGTTTTATTTTTTGTAAATAAAGTAGCTATTCAAAAAGGGTAAAATACTGTATATTCTTAGATGTCTAAAGCTGTGTTTTGGCATAATGATAACACCAAACTCATACTGTTAAAGAGCTTCTGCTTGTATTTTCTTGTTGCACGAGTGGTTAAAACTGGAAGAAGTTTTTCCCCTATGGCTTGTACAACCATATGGTAGAATTCAAATTCTGTCTTGTTAGAAGAAAAGAAAGAGATCGTTCTTCAGGCGCAATCTTTCTTGGGCCTTTGAACATTGTGCTAGAATTGCACTCCAAAGGTAGACAGGGACAGGGAAAAGAAATATATTCTTTGTGTAGTTAATAATTTTCTCCTCGTCACATTAAAAATATTACTTTGATAACAATTTCATGAAGGGCTTTTAAAAACTCTAAAAGAGTGTGGCAGTAACACCTTTTCCAACTAACACATTTAATAAAAAAGACAAGCTCCTGAGCAGTACTCATTTCATCAGATGTATTGCATATAGACTAAGAGTCACTTTGCAACTGATCAAGTAAGCTGCAGCTCAGAAAAGCTTATGCTTTTAATAAGATGTGTTAGTTGGAAAACGTTTTACCAGACTCTTGATTTGTTGTTACTATAAATTAACATGACTCTCTTTCTACATTGTCTAGGAAGGGCTTCTGCACTTCACTCAAATATTTGAATTGTACTTTGTGTACTCCTACTATAAAGAGACATAGGCTTATTAATTTGTTTGATAGCTAAAATTATAAACAATTATGCCTTGTTAGTGTAACAAAATTGGAACCAGTAACTTTCAAGATATTTGGAAGTGTTATGTCGGAGAAAAGGATGAGAATCAATATCTAGCTGATAATTTTAAGAATGATCTATACTTGCTTTGTTCAAGATATCCTGTTCTTGTTCCCTTATCTCTTGCATTAGATGCTTTAGTGCAACAAATACAATTATTCTTTAAAGCAAATATAACACAATTTGCATTTTTTGCTTTTGCCTCCTCAAGGGATTTCTTCATGCAGTATTTGTACGATTAAAACAATTTTTGGAATGTAGTAAGTAATTTTTGACTTTGGGATACAATTCTATGTGTGTATGGACAGTCTGTTGATTTCAGAGATTTGAGTTTTCAGTAAATCCTTTTAGAATTTTCTTTAAACTTCTTGTCCAAACCATCTCTTAATGAAATACTTTATTATTGGCAAAAGTTGTGACATAAACAGACAATTTAACTGGTTTGTTTTCATGTTGTAAAAAAGATATAATTCAGATATAATCCCAATATATATATTAAAATAAATCTGGGAATTTCTTGTTAAATATAAGTGCATTTTATCTTCTGGTTGTACTTATAGTACCTTGCCTTCCATTAATATTTGAAGAATGGTGGCTCTAAATCTTAAGTTTAACTTAAGATTTAATTGAAAATTCACTCCTGGCAATTTCACTTAAGTCTTAAATAATACAGATCATTTTATCGATTTTATGTATGTATTTATCACATTTCTATGTTGCCTATCTCACCTCAGTGATTCTGGACAGTTTACAATAGAAACATAAAATTAATCTAAAAGCATTAATAAGAACAGAGTTAAAACAAAGTTAAGAACAAAGTTAAAATTAAAAGTAGTTAAAGACAGAGGGAGCCTCCTCATGTCACTGACCCCCCTCCCCCCAGGGTCGCATACCACTCTTCAACCCCCATTCCAATTGACCAAGCCAAGTCTTAACACTCTTTTGCAAGGCTGGAAGGAGGGATCCTGCTTCATCTCTGAGGATATGGTGTTCCAGACCATGGGGGCAATGGCAGAGAAGGCTTTCTTCTTGAATTCCCCCAGTCAAAACTCTTTCACTGACAGGATTCCCCAATATACCCTCTCTGATTGACTGGATGGGATGAGACAATGTGATTGGGGTGAAACAGTTCCTCAGGTAACCTGGTCCCATGCTATGAAGGACTTTAAAGATGATAACCAACACTTTAAATTGGTTATCCTATCAGAGGTCATCCAAAAATGCAACCAATGCTGTTTCTGTCCCATATCTCGGCCTGACACTTGACTGGAAGAGGTCCTGAAACCTGATTAGAAGAGATCCAGATAATCCTTCTCATCCAGGATCCTGTGGAGTTGATGTTAGCTCTAAGTGTATCATTCTCCTGCTTCTTCATTTCTAAATTATGGATTTTGCTACATTACATAAATCTGAATTTTTTTGGCAGTAGCTTTTAACAAATATTGATTCATTTGAATTAAATTCATAGGTCTGTCTAAGCATGACTGATATTTTTGTACTTAATAATATAAATTAATTTTATTTATCAGGTAAAAACATAGAAACAGATAATGCCTGTAGGGATCGGCTAGAAAAGACTATAATTCTTTTCACTAAAGTGGTAAGTTTCTGTAGCTGTTAATCTTTTGAAAATTTTTACCTAAATAAATTCTTAAGATTTTTAGCAACTTCTAATGTAACAATTATGCTATTATATTAATAATAATCAGTATTAGTAGACAAAATGTGGTTTTCATAAAGAACATAAAGATTCTGTGAAGAGAAAATAATTGGGGAATAATTAGAATTAGAGGCTACAATGAATTCATTATAAATGAAGTTTGCTAATTCCCTTGCAGGTCCCCAGATTCTGTATTTACCACAAGACTAATATTAGAAATATCTTATTGAAGTCTGTAGTTCTTGCTTCCTTATCTTGCTTAGCTGTTTGAGTGTTGATATTTGCCTAAAACCCAGAAAGGGAGGTTGAGTGCAAACAGCACTGATATACTTAAGCTTATTTCATGAATTTCATGAATTCTGGTCCAAATCTCCAATGTAGAATTCTCCAGAATCCTTCAAAATTACTTTGTCTTATCACCCAAACCACTTAAGGATATCTTTGACGTCTAAGCCGTTAAGTATTTATGGACTAATCTTTTCAACATATACGGTGGGTTGTTTCTTATGAGTCCCATAATGAACCAAAAGAAGTATCAAACCCTTTTCTTATGTACCTTTTGGTAGGAACTAGATTTTACCCACTTAGAAACATATTCGACGTCTTTCAAAGTTTACTTTTAACCTTTAGCTTTAAATAATTCTGTTAAATCTTAATAATCTGTTAAACATTAAATGCCAAATATGCCTGGTGTATTTTAAAATAAACCATTTGTTATTCTGAGAGTTACCTATATTACTTTGACCTATTACTACTACTACTACTACTACTACTACTACTACTACTACCATTATTTTTGGAGTGGTATTCTCATGTATACATATATATTTTCAACTTTTAGCTTTTAGACTTCTTGGACCAACATCCATTTTCATTCACGTCTCTAATTCAGAGATCATTGGAATTTTCTGTAAGCTGTGTTTTCACAGAGGCTGGAGAAGGAGTTGTTTTTGAGCGTTTCATTGTCCAATGCATGAATCTGATTAAGATGATTGTCAAAAATTATGCTTATAAGCCATCCAAAAATATAGAAGGTAATTTGTTTTTTTTTACTTCAGTGCTATTCATAATTGCTTAGCGCTTTCAAATACATGAGTAAAATACATATTTTCTTTTTGTGAACTATTTTGCTGCAGAAAGCAGTCCTGAAACTCTTGAAGCTCATAAAATAAAGGCATCATTCTTTACATATCCAACATTAACGGAGATATGCAGGAGGCTAGTTACTCAGTACTTCTTGTTAACTGAGGAAGAACTAACAATGTGGGAAGAGGATCCTGAAGGCTTTAGTAAGAAATTTTATTCTTTCAGTTTAATTTTACTTCAATGAATAGCATTCTGGTTTTCCAAATACCCACAAATAATATAAATAGCAAACAGTGTATATTGATATATAATTATGATTTCCATAAGATTTTGCTTATAAAGAGCTATTGTTTTAATATAAGTTTCATACTCGCACTCAAGAAAATGTGACACCAAAAGGATAAATATTAGATAGTTAAATAAAATTTTAATGTACTTTTTTCATATTATATAGTTGTTGAAGAAACAGGAGGTGATTCTTGGAAATATAGTATTCGGGTAAGTATGTGGCATATAATTTAACTTAAAACTTTTTTAAATATGAAAATTAATCAGTGAAAACTTTCTAACTACATGCTAAAGTCCACGTTCTGACAAAACCAGGAAAGCGGAGTTTTGTGTATAACAATCACTTAGCAATCATTGAAGTTATAGTGGACCTCCCTAGAGCTATTGATGACCTTTTTGGAAGTTCCAGTGCCCCAAGTGATCACATTTTGGGTACTTAGTAGCTGGCTTTATGACCATTTGCAGTATCCTACAATTACCCGGCTGCATTTTTTCCCAGTTTCCAATACTTATTTTTGGTTTTCGGCAAAAAATGCCCCTTGGGTATAGTGGATTCATTTAATGACTGCAGAATTCACTTAATGACCACTTTAAAAATGGTAAAATTGGGTGCGGTCACATGGTTACCCACTTAATGACCCCCACGACTTACGACCATGATTCCAGGTTCCATTATATTTGTATGTTGAGAATTGCCCCGAATCTAAAGACTATGCAATGTCTGTTGGGGGGGGGAGGATGTTATTTGTTTACTTTTTACATAGTATAGAACTTCATTAATGTTGACACCAGTTTGAAGATTTTCCAACTTGAATAAAACCTTGCTTATAAATTACTGTTGGAGTAATTGCTTCACACTCAGCAACAATAACATATAGTTTACATGGGGGTATCCAAAACAATAACTTAACTGGGAATGTGAAGTAGTGATAGCCTAAGCTATATTTAAACACATTTTCCTGTATTTCAGAACTTGGTTGTAAAAGTAGAGTTTGGTATACTGGGCAGTGAAATGATGCTTCACACAGTCACTCATGCTCTTGTCACCTCCCGCCTGGACTACTGTAATGCTCTCTACATGGGGCTCCCTTTGAGGAGCACCCAGAGGCTTCAAATGGTCCAAAATGCGGCCGCGCGGGCGGTGTTGGGAGGGACTCGTCGCTCCCATGTGACACCGCTGCTGCGCGAGCTGCATTGGTTACCAGTGGCCTTCCGGGTGCGCTTTAAGGTATTAGTTACCACCTTTAAAGCGCTCCATGGCATAGGACCCG